ATGAAACTGATACTTAATATTTTTTTAACAAACGAAAATTTAATACAACAACAAAATTCTATTATTTAAATTCATCATTGAACAAAAAATCATGTTACCGGTTATAGGTGAAGATGTATAAGTTTTATGCTTTCAACTTATGTATGTGTGTGTGAGTCTAACATTTTTTATGGTAAAAGATATATAATAAAAATAATATCAGATATCCATCTAATTATTGTCAAAAATGTTAGGTATTTTAAAATTTTAATTAGTCCAGATTACAATTCGAGTCCTGTCCTTAATGCGATAGAAACATATTGAAAAAAATTTAAACAGATATCAAAATTTTTCAAGATATAATTCAAGTGCTACACTTCATATATTTTCAAGATTCTCAATTCTTCAAGTTTGTTTTTTTTCAAGATTCCGTTTCTATCGAATGAAACAACATTAAGGGACTCCGTTCTTTCGCTCCGATATTCAAAATTCAAAAGCTCTCGAATAAAATTGAATGATGATTCAAGATAATGCGTTATGATTATTCGAGCCGTTTCTTTATAATTACAAAAATTTTGTGAACGTTATCTTAAACCAAAGTTAAAAATTCAAGTGTTTTGCTTATGAGCCGTGGTAATTAATTTTTGGTGAACTTTGGCCGGACCGTTTCTCATTAGTATTTTAATAAAACCTCCCATAGTCATAGATTTGAGGAATGGAACAATTACCCTGATATATAATGAGCCATGTAGTTTATGTCAATTTCTTAAAAATCTAATTTTTTCAAAGTTTTGCAAAGTTTTTTTTTTCAAATTTAGTTTTTGGTACGGAAAGTCCCAGCAATTTGCCTTAAGGGGCACAACTAGTGTAACCGCCTAAAAAAAGGTGATTTTTGGGAATTTATATTAAAAAAGAATACTTTATCAATCATTTAAAAATTTTAGCAATATATTTACACATGTTTTAAGAATACATAGAAAAATTTTTGAAGAAAAAAATTAAATATTTTTTAAGTTATCGTCGATCTCCAACGGCGCGACAAAAAAAGGCCCTTCACTGCTGCAGTGATTCCGGCCTTCTACGTGGATGAAATTTAAAAAAAAAAATCTCGTTAAACTAGATAATATTGTCTGTAAAATGAACTACGATAAAGAAAAAAAATCAAAAATTGACAAAATGACGGCGTTTTTTTTAAAAAAAGTCGAATTTTGCCCAAAATTTTGGTCATTTTTGGACTGCCAAAAAATCGATAGTTTATTTTACGGAGAACTATATATAGAACATGTAAAAAAAAAATTATAGCGATCGGATCATTTGTTTTTGAGTAATCGCTGCAGCAAATTCGAAAAATGCTGTTTCGAGAAAAACGCGTTTAAAGATTAAATGATCATTATACTTATTACTATATATATATATATATATATATATATATATATATATATACACCTAAGTCTGTTTTTACACGGTCTTTTTGTACACGGTTTTGATATCACACGGTTTGCAAATTGAATATTTTTAATTTTTTTACACGATTTTATTCCATTTAGCACGATTTGAAATTTTATGTGCTTAAATTTTTTTTGTCAAATTTAATTTTTGCGAAGTATGTTCATATCACAAAAAAGTATTTATGAAAGAAAAAAGTCTGAAACCATCGATAGTATCGATAGTTTGCGAACACCAGCTTAAAGATTTAAGTGAATTCCCCTTTAGCGCGTACAAACAATTTTTACTGGTCAAAGCAAATGTGAATAGCACTAATTTAATTCTTGTTTTTCACCAATTTTAATAGGTTTTAGAGATTAAGAACAAATCACCCATTTTTGTATAAGATCAATGTCTTTTTTTACACGTTTTTTTTTACACGGATTCTTCTGGAACCAATCTCCGTGTAAAAACAGACTTAGGTGTATACTCTTTAAATGGCTGTGACTCAAAAACTATTTAAGATATCGATTTAAAATTTTGGTATGTTATTTTTAAAGGTATAACCTATCGAAATACGGAAAAATTAAATATTTGATTTTTTGAAAATTTCACACTAGTTGTGCCCCTTAAGGCACGATGCCACGCACCACTTGTACAAATTGTTTTTGAACAACATTATTTATTTCAACAAAAAGCATTTTCATGAATACACACAAACCTATATTATGGGAGAGAGCCGTCGCAATTCGAAATAGACAATATACCAAGAAGTCCATACAACCTTCTGTATTATTTTGCAAAATGACATAGTAGTGTATAGATTGTTTGCAGTTTTTTTGTTGGTGCGTTATTAAATATGAGAAGCAATTAGGTTTTCATCATATTATATTTTGCTACTATAAAACAGATAAAGCACTGTTCAAACAAAAATATTAACCCATATTTTTTGATAGAATACAATTATCAGACAATATCAAGTAATTTTTAAGACAAAGCTGCACCAGTTGGTAACAAGCGTCAAATTGCTGCATGTGAGCTTAATTTCGGCCAAAATTTACATTTTTACTATAAAGCAGATAAAACACAGAGTTTCAAGTAGAAATATTAACCGATGTGTAGAGAAAAGATGTTTTTATAAAAAACCTGTGTCAGACGATATCATTTAATTTCGAAGTGTAAGTTGCACGACGGTAGAAACCCCCAAAAAACCAATATGTGACATAGAATAAAGATGAAATTTATAAAATTCATCCATTTATGACCAACTAAATAATTAGCAACTATGCAAATTTTAGTTGAAAGTCGTTTTGTTCTATAATGCTGAGCCGAAGCTTCTCGGTAGATTGGTGATTAGAGCTAAGGACTTGGAATTAAAAGTTTCTGGTTCGAATTTTCATTTGAAAATTTAGATAGCAACATGTTTTCAAGTGGAAATAGTTCTTACGCGGACTTGCTGCATCTAATAAAAAAGTCATCAGTATCAGAGTAACGAACCAGATTCTGCCGTAAAATAGACCAATGTTATGGCAAGGCTGTAAAAGTTTTCATACAAAATGGCATTAAATACTTTCAAAAGCCATGTGGTTGCTATGCACTCAAACGTTTTAGATAGAAAATCCAACATAAAAAACGCACTAATGTCAAAAAACGATGTTATCATAACTTCATCTTTGTCGTGTGGCATAATAACATATGAGTGAAGTTGCATTTTATGTGTAAAATGCCAGATCGCATAGCAAATACATGGCATTTTGAGGGTATTTGGTACCATTTCATATGAAAATTGCTTCGTAACATAGCCCTTCCATAACATCGGTCTATTTAACGCCAGAACTAGTTCCTTAGTCTAATAATAAATTCATCAAAAAAGGATAGGCCATTCTGATTATGTTAATATGTATATAATTTTCCTGAACATAAAGTGAAATTCAACGTGACTCATTTTATCCGAGGCCGTGTATTATGTAATGTTTTCTAATTGTGAGTTGTTTGTCAAGAAAATTTCAATACGGCTGTAGATGGACGGGCAAATATTCAATGTTTGCTAACGTTTCATTTAATAAACCGGAAGGAAGTTGATTTAAAATATACGAAGGGGAAGTCAATATCTCTTCTCTTACCCTGAAACTTTCGGTTCAAGTCTGACATTGTTTACTTTCACTACAAGCAAAGGCGAACAAAATATAATATGCATAGAAAGCAAATAGCGGACGTATTCGAAAAGAATGTTTTCTTATAAAGTTTCTAAATCTAGTTTATAGATACATCGTGTCTTAAGGCAAATTGCTGGAACTTCTCGTACCAAAAATTTAATATTTTAAAAAAGTTAAATCTTCGAAAAAACGATATTTTTGAGAATTCTGAAAAAAAAAGACTTTGGAAAAAATTGATTTTTTTTAAATCTTGTAATTTTTGAAAATCTACAACTTTTTTTCAAAGCACAATTGTGCTGCGTGGCTTTTTTAGACAAAAAATATCAAAGCGAGTAAGCGCGTAAGCGTCGCGACTCAGTCTAACGGATAAACATTGGTACGGAACCCATAAAAATGTAAACAAAGTTCATACTTATTATTAAAATTCTGTAAAATATGTGATAATTTGATGTGCAAAATAAAAGTTTTTTTAATTTTTTTACTTTATCTCCAAAACCGTTAGACCTGTTTACCAAAAATTTAATCAGTTCTTCGTTTTGTCCTATTAAAATAGGACACTCCGTTCTCTCAAAAACTGAACTTTCATTTTTGGCCCCGTATCTTCGAAACGGCTGGACTTGTCTTGACAAAAAACTAATCAGCACGTCTCCTTAACAATAGGTGTTGAATGTTTTTGAATCAATCAAATCGGTTGATCCGCACACACATACGAACACACACACGCACACATAGACATACATTTTTTCTATGGTATGCCATAATGTTCAGAAACCTTTTAAACGTAAAAATATATAAACATTTTCATTTTCGATTTTTTTTGCGATTACTATAAATTACCTTACCCTTAATAAGATTATGCACCCCTGTGCAATTGATAGAAACATGGGTTATGATTTTTGGTGATTTTTGATAAATTGATTTTTTCCCAAGAATATAATAATATTTATACATCAATAACATATTTAAAACTCTTCTTCTTTAATTTTTTTTTTTGTAAAATCCATAATTTAAAGCTACATTTTCAGCCTTCATTCAGTAGAAGCAATTTATTAAATTAGGCAATTTTTTCACTGAATGAGTGCTAGAATTATAACTGAAACATATGAATTATATAGTAAATTTGTAAACAAATTCACGTTTTCTATTGATGTTGTGTTTATTTGGCAATGCACACACAATTGTAAACATCGGTATAATCAATTATAATTTTTAGTGAATGTACAATTTAATTTAGGTGAGTGTTAAAAAATGAAAGTTACCAAAGAATGGAAATAGAAAATATATAACAAATCTTTTTGAGAATAAATCAGGCTCTTGAAAATGAGATCAAAATTTATATATATATATATATATATATATATATATATATAGATGTGTGCAGTAATATATAACCATGTCTTTAATATCAATGATTATAATTAGGTAATTTATTTTTAACAGGTAAAAGTTTTACCCTGACGATAATGCTCTCAACTTCTCCACCGCAAGTTGCAACTTATACGAAGGCGATCAAAGTTACGGTGGATGGCCCCAGAGAACCAAGATCCAAAACTAGGTCAGTCATTATAAGCATATTTTTCTTTAAATTATATATATATATATATATATATATATATAAGAACAATTACATATAAGTTGAGATATTCATATGCGGTTTCATTAGATAGATCAGATACTTACAGTAAATAGTAGTAGTAATATAATCTACTTTTAATTTAGTAATTTGAGATTACTAATATGCAAATATGTGTAAATATATATTTTTTAATAATGTATTATAAAATTATCATATTAAAACTAATGTAATGTAAACACGTTTGATTTTATAATTTAATTTAAATAAATTGATTATTTTTTTCGCTTATCTTTTTCGAAGTATAGTTTATATTTATTTTTTACCAACATGCTTGTTGTAAACCAATAATATATTTTCCATGTTTTTGTGTTTGTGTATTAATTATTTGTGTGTTTTGTTTCTTGAGGAAGAGTCAAATTGAGGCTCGAAACGTATGGTTCTATCAGATGTATTTTAAGAAACATATCTTAGTTTTCAATGTATTTTATTTTTGGATGGATGCCTGTTAAAAAGTTATTTGTTTTATATATATATGAAATATTTATCACCATATTACATTATATATATATATATATATATATATATATATATATAGGGTTGTTCTTAATATAGACATTTTCGAATTTCATTGCTTCCAAGGGCTCAAATGGTTCCAAATTGATAAAAAACAATTCTCTGAAAGTCTTACCTCTTAATATTGTTTTTAGATATAGCGCAAATCAATCAAAGTATTGTATTGAAATAGCATGAAAAATTTTTCAAAAATTTTGCAGAGCGTCGAATTTTTAATAAAAAATGACACGAATTTTTACTTTTAATTCATTTGTCTCTAAGTTATACCTAAATTTTTATACCATGCAATTTCCATACGAAGTTTGATTGAATTGCGCACTATCTAAAAGTTAATATTAAGAGCTAAAACATTGAGAGAATTGTTTTTTATCAATTTGGAACAATTTGAGCCTTTGGGAGCAAAAATATTCGAAAATGACCATATTAAGGACCACCCCAATATATATACATGTATTCTGTTTTTTTATGAAGTCATTTTACTTTTACAGACATCATGGTTTTCATCCGTTTGCAGCATTTGGTCCTCGATCGCTCTCTGGCCCAGATGCGCTCATGGGTTTCAAATTATCAGGTATTTTATTAAAATTTATATGTTTGAACTAATTAAAATGATAATTATTTACTTATAAATTTTATAAATTGTTATATATTTGGATTATTAACTGAAAGATTAGCCTAACACCTCCCCTCTCCTTATAAAACGGATTTCATTCACATTCACCAGATTTTTTTTACAATGTTCAAGTAACTAAAACTAGTAAAATAGTTGCAAAAAACTGTTAGTACCTGAGTGCAAGTTGTGCGAAATAAGATAAAAAATCTGTATCAGATGAACGGCCGACAATGACTGATCTGGGGTTGGTTGACTCCCATATGCAACCCTTATTTATTTGCCAGGAACATGTGTACATGTGCGGAATATGTACGGAAACATGTTATTTAGTTAGAGAACTGAGAAGCAAACGGAATATCTTAGCGATAGCCGAGGGTGGATCAACCTTGCTCCCACTGACTGTAATCATCACATGATATCTTACACGCACGATACATACGTACATGGACCACCACACGATGATACATACATACATACATATATACATGCATACATATATATATATATATATATATATATATAAATATACACGTGTGTGCATGCATGTATATGTGTGCGTGTGTAGATTAGGGTTTATACAAAAACGGGCATTTTAGAAAACCGGTTTTTGGGTAGTATTTCTTATCAAAATACCGGTTTGGATAAATAGAAATAGAAATAGAAGTTATGATAAATAAAAAACAATTTGCTCGAATAATTCTAACAGAAAATTCAAAAAAAAAATTCGAGTGTTTACTCACTTAGTTTTCGTCTGAAGTTATTTACTGTTCAAATTTATTGACTTCTTTTTCTATACATAAACGACCAGTTATTCGCTGTTTATGCATAATTTTTACATGTAAGGAAAAATATGTTTATGATAGTGAAACAAAGGAAAACTATCAATTTGCAGTAATTTCATGATTTATTTATAAAACGAAATGTTCCAACAATTTGCCAAGGCAGAATATCATAACTGGTTATTATTATTTTTTTTAAAAAAAAAAAAAAAATTTTTTTTTTAGCTATAAATTAACAGTTTATTTTAATCCGTTTTGATTAAATTTTTACTGCGTTTTTGCACTTTAAATGCTATAGCTCTCAAACTTTAAAGTAAATTCAATCTATATCTTTAGAGTGTCTTGAATATGTTAGCCAACTCGTAGATAAATAAATTGTCTCTAATTACATCCTATATTATGATTATGCATCTGTATTTTTATATGACATTTATTTTAGAGTTTGGAATTCGATTAGAAAAATCGATTCTTGCATTTTTGCACCTCGGTTGCTTTGGTCCTAAAATTAATGCAATCTGAAGTATATCCCAAAATATAACAGCTTTTTTATTGTTAACTTTCCGTAGGGTAAGTTAAAGTAATCGCAAAAAATCAAAAATGAACATTTTTATATATCTTTACGTTTCAGAGGTTTCTGAATATTTCAGCATACCTTAGAAAAAAAATGGATGTATGTGTGCGTGTGTATGTGTGTTTGGATACAAATTTTCGTCGACGATTTCGGGAACACGGATGAAACGATTTGAATAATTCAAAAAACATTCGATTCGTATTAATAAGGAGATGTGCTGATTAGTTTTTGGCGAAGGCAGGTCTAGTCGTTCCGAAGATATGGGGCAAAAAGTGCCAAAAACAGTAACGGTAAAGTTTTTAAGAGAACGGAGCGTCAGATTGAATAATTCAAACAACATTTTACTTGTATTAATAAGATAAAAAACTAATCAAATTTTCATGAAGGCTGGTCTAGCGGTTTCGGAGATCTAGTAAAGAAAGTAAAAAAAAAGTGCCATCTGGTGGTCAAAAATGATCATTAGACATATGCACATCAAATTATAGGATATTTTATAGAGATTTTAACAATAAGTATGAATTTTGTTTACATTCCTATGGGTTCCGTACCAATGCTTATCCGTTAGACGGCGGCGCGACGCTTACGCGCTTCGATAATTCGTCTTTATGCAGTTAAAGCAGTACGATTGCGTTAAAAAAAAGTTCAGAATTTCCAAAATATTTCAAAATACACTTTACTTCAAAAAGTCTTTTTTTTCAATATTAAGAGTAAAATTTAAAAAAAGTAAATTTTTGTAAAAAATTTATAGTTTCTCAAAAATCTAATTTTTCAGAGTAATTTTTTTTTCAAAAATGTTAATCTTTAAAAAAAATTTTTTTTTGGTATGAAAAGTTCCAGCAATTTGCCTTAAGGCACGATACCATGCGCCCCACTAGTTAAAATATTTATAAAATGTTCGATAATTTTGAGTTCAACCACTACTTTTGACTAGAAAATGGTAACTTTTAAACTTTTGCAGAAGCCTTACATGGACTACCCTTTAAAAAAAAAAACAATCAACTTTTCACATCGAATCGGCCGGATTACACAAAACTTATTATTTTGTAATAACATATTAGATCAATGTTGAGAAATAAAGAATTTTGAGAAACATTGAGTATTATTAACAAAGGGCAAAATTGTGAAAAAAAATCTAATAAATTGAAAAATAAATTATTCATTTTAATTGCAATAAAGTATTAAATAAAATAGAATCAAATGAAGTATTTTTAATTAATTCAATTTACTATTTTTTTTCTGCAGAATTTTTTTTCTAAATAAGCACAATAATTTTTATATTAGGTACAAACTATTGATATATTTCAATACACTTATTGTTGAATAGAACTCAAGATTCTCTGATATAAAAATGTTCTGTGTATCTTTTCCTTCGTATCGCAAACCGTACTATCAGACTATATTCGGATTTAGAAACACAGTACTGATTTGTCATTTGTCCCTATTTTATTTCTTTCATTTGTTCGGCTTGCGAAATGCTCTGGCATTTATCAATTTAAGGCAAGGGTTCATTTTACTGTGAAAAATAAAGATTCAAAAATTCCTTCACGTGCTAAGGGCGCAAAACCATGAACCAGTAGTCATTTATTCTTTTATGTCGTTATGAATTTGTTTCTTTATGTCTGGCTTCTGCCTTCGCACGATCTCCGAATATTGTCTCTTTATTGCGCACTTCTTCAAAGTAAAAAAATACCCAAGTGTGGGTGGCGGCAATTTGCTTGTCGCAGCTGCAGAAACTTTCCAATTGAAATATATATATATATATATATATATATATATACACGTAACAAATATATAAAATAGCGGTGCATGGCATCGTGCCATAAGGCACATTGCTGGAACTTCCAATATTTTTTTTTAAAAAAAGCTTAAACTTTTTTGATAACTTCATAAAAAATCGATTTTTGAGAATTTTGAAATTTTTAAAAGAATTTGACTGTTTTGTCAAATTTGAATTTTTTTATGTTTGAAAAATATTGAACTTTTTTTTCAAAGTAATCGCGCTGTGTAGCTGTTATAGACGAAGTATCTAAGTACTTAAGCACCGCGTCACCGTCTAAAGGATAAACATTGGTACGGAACCCATAGAAATGTGAAAAAAATTCATACCTGTTATAAAAATCTCTATAAAATATCTGATAATTTGCTGTGCATATATCTTATGATCATGTTTGTTTTTTCAATGGTTGTTTGATTGAATTTTGAAGAACCAAATTTGTTATAAACACTTTAATTTGTAACTTTATGTATTTATTTTATGTTAATTACAAGTTATAATCGTATTTATAATAATTTCAATAATGTTTTTAATACCGTATTGATTGACTTGATTTTTATATGATTTTGAATTGACGATTTTTTTATTTATATCAATTTTCAATATTTTGATCACCAAATTGATTTTTTTTACTTCTTTTTAATGGATCTGCGAAACCGCTGGACCTGATTTTGAAAAAAATTAACCAGTTCTTCATTACGTCAATACAAATAAAATGTTTTTGAATAATTCAAATCAGACGCTTCACTTTCTCAATAACTAAATTATCAGTTTTGACACTTTTTGCCCGTATCTTCGAAATGGCTAAAACTCTACAAGGACTCGTGTTAAAGCTCGGCTAAAGCATTTCTTTCGAATTAGCGTTTAAGTGCAAATTTTTTTGCATAACTTGAACCGATTTTAATATAACATAAATGTAATATTTTCAAATGTAAATGTATCTTTTTATACAAATTACGAACTCGCATTTCTAAAACGCTGAATACTGCTAACAACATAATTTTTCATAATTCTCAGTGATTTAAATAAATTGTTTTATTAATATTATCATTTTGTATACTTTAGAAAGGACAGTAAGGTAGATTTTTCGATGCTTTTATTATAGTATTATTGAGCAATTTATATTCCGTTCTGCTACTTCTATAATAACTTACTCTGGCAGTGTTCGACAGTTAAACTTTAATAGAATTTGATTATATATTTTAGATCAGAATATAAAGAACAGGATTTTTAAAAAAGTTTTTAGTATTATACAGGAATGTTTTTTGTTAGGCAAGGTAATAGTAGATTATTATGTGAGGTCAGCAAACTATTTAAGAATAGGTTTTAAAATCAGCTCGGTGTTGCTTACAAAATATTTATTTAACCAAATAATTTTTAAATTATTTTCAAATTATATATATATATATATATATATATAATTATATATTTTCAAATTATATATATATATATATATATATATATATATATATATATATATATATATAATATTTATAATTCTATATAGATTCCATTGGATTTTGTAGTAAGTGTTGCGACGGTTTATATTTGATAAATACCCTAATGGCTTCCGATGTTCCAGTGTATTTATCTTTCGTGCATTTCTTCAAGAGGCTTACGAGCGCTAAGGTTTTATGCATAAACCTATTCTAATTGCTCTCTCTATCATCACGGTTTAAGGCTTAGTATAATATTTATGTCACATACTACCATATAACATACCCATATATACACACACACACATATATATATATATATATATATATATATATATACATACATGTGTGTATGTATAGTATATATAGGCATCTTGAAAACGTAGCGGTTAATCGTT